GGGGCGCGAGGGGGGCGGGTCTGGGGGGATGTCGGGGTCCGAGCGGGAGAGTGGGCGGGGGAGGAAATTGGGGGCGCCTTGATGGCGTTCAGGGAGTGTGGCGGAGCCAGCCCTAAGGACTGAGGTTTGGGACCTCTTGACAGTGAGGACGGCGGAGGAGCAAGGGTTAGCAGCTTCCTTCGGGTGAGGGCGGAGACGGAGGGTATTGACCCAGGAGTGGCACTGGCCCGTGCTGTGGCAGGAAGAGGGTGAGGAGCCGCACCGAAAACCAGCCTCTTCCTGGCAGCGGAAAGTTCCGTGGCCAAAGAAAGCCCAAGGAAGCCAGGCCAGAGCGGGAAGGGGTGGGATTAGGTGGCCTGGTGGCAGTTTTAGCCTCGAGCCCCCACCTCTTTATTTATTGGACAACAGCCCTCTCAGAAATCTTTCTAGTTAAGTTACAGTCGAGTAGGTGCCCAAGAAGAAAGGTGTTTTCTCAGTGATGTCCAAAGGAAGGAGAAGAAAAGAAGCAAGTGTTGGAGGGGAGAAACTTTGCCAAGGTGTAAGGGTGAGGGCCCTTTGGTATAAAAGCTGGGGTTGGATTCTTTGGATTGGACCTTAGAGGTTGGAGGTGGATGAGGTGATTTGAACCTGCACTCTAAGAAGTTTGGCCTGAGAGGTCTTTTTGAACAAGTGTTGTTGTAACCTTAACTGCGACAGACAAGCATCAGCGGGTTTTGAAAGGAACTCTCTTGAAAGAAGAATTCATTGATTCAGCAAAACTTACTGAGCCCCTGCTATGTGTCAGGGATGGTGCTGGCACTGACGATAACAGGTGAATCAGATAAGCCAGGTTCCTGCATTTACAGAGCTTTTATTCTAGTGGGAGAGACAGACAGTGAGTGAATATTTAAATAAAGAACACTTGCTACAAGATTAAATTACTAAGAAATGAACAGGGTGAAGTACACGAGTAGGGTCAGGTGAGATGATGGGGACATAAGGCAAGGTCTCTCTGAGGAGGATGACATTTGAACTCTAACATGAAAGGAGATTACATGGCAGCCACAGAAAGACCTTGGGGATCAGTGTCCAGTTGGAAAGGCGTTGAGGCCAGAACAATCTTGGTTGTATTCAAGGAAAAGACAGAGCCAGCACGGCTGGAGCAGGAGTAAGGGAGGGGAAAACTGGAGGAGGATAGGAGGTGGTAGAAGTAGGCAGGAGCCAGGTGGCTTAGGACTTTATAGGCCGGCATATTGAGTGAAGAGAGAGAGAAAGCAGGATATGTGTGTGCCAAGTCATTACCCGTAGTAACTTCTGGAGACTGCTTAATTTCCTTATGCCTGAGGCAAAAAAAAAAAAAAATGGCGGGGATGCCTCAGCTCCAGAAGACCAGGAATCAGGAATGCAGGTATTGACCATTCTTGCAATTTGTACCAAAGTGTGGCAGGCTTTCTGGACTTTTTCATATGAAGTAATATGAGGATGTACCTTCCAGTTACCTGACCTGTGACTACATCTGATGCTTACTCTGTGCTCATATGTGATGTTTAATCCTTGATACAACCTGGTGCAGTGATGATGTTACAGGCCTCGTCTAAGGTTAACACACTAGTAATTGACAAAGCTGGGTGTGATTGCAGAGGCCTTCTCCGTTCTCACTGGCCTCCCTGACTGCTGCAGCTGTCTGGACCTGCTGACCTTTCAGAAGTACTACTGTCTGGCTGGGTGAACTAATGCCCTCACTTATCTGAAGTTCTGTTTGTTTGAAAGTTTGAACAGCTTAATCTAAGGCAGAAGGCAGTCCCCCCCCCCCCCCCCCCCCCCCCCCCCCCCCCCCCCCCCCCCCCCCCCCCCCCCCCCCCCCCCCCCCCCCCCCCCCCCCCCCCCCCCCCCCCCCCCCCCCCCCCCCCCCCCCCCCCCCCCCCCCCCCCCCCCCCCCCCCCCCCCCCCCCCCCCCCCCCCCCCCCCCCCCCCCCCCCCCCCCCCCCCCCCCCCCCCCCCCCCCCCCCCCCCCCCCCCCCCCCCCCCCCCCCCCCCCCCCCCCCCCCCCCCCCCCCCCCCCCCCCCCCCCCCACCCGCTCCTGATTGCTTCGGTTTTCTCAGAAAGCAGGATTATCAGCTTAGAGTGAGGTGTTTCTTCAGCCACATGCAGCTGCACAGGTACTGCCAGATTAGTATCATGGAGAGGGGGAGGTGAGAGAGAATGTGTGTAAGGGAGCAATTATAATGGTTGGTCTAGAAATTTCATCTTTGTGAAGACGTGAGGGGGCTAAGGGGCAGTGGAAAGGTAGTAGGGCCAACAGATTGTTGGGGTTGAGGTTCTGAAGGGAATAAACAAGAAAAATAGGATACATGGGCAGTGAGTGAGATGCATGAAATTGAGATTCTGAAGGGGCTGCAGTTATTGAGACAAGGTCTAGATATGATCCTGAGAGGGAGGGGTTGGGGGTAGAACAAGATCACCCAGAAGAGAGGTCGAAGAGGTCTGAATATGGAAATCCCCAAGAATAAGAGCAGCCTGAAAGGCAGTGAGCCCAGAGCTAAAATTATGGAGAAGTGAGGAGTAGTGATCTGGGTCAGCAGATAATGTGCAAAGTGGGCTAGTGAATGGTCTACTCTGGTGACATGAGATTCATATGTAGGGGGTTTGGGGAGGGTTGGAGGGAGAATGGCCTGGAAGCAGCACCCGGAAGTAAGGAGACCTACCCACTTGGAAGGGCCACGTAAGGCATGTGTTCACGGGAGAGCCAGATTGCAGGGTATCTGAAGAAAGTGACAAGAATATTCAGAGAAGAAGAAATGAGAGATTTTGCTGAAGATAGATCATGAATTCCAGAGGGCCTAGGAGTTGAGGGAGGGGAGATGGGGACAAAACATGCTGTGTGGGGATAAGGGTTAACTCAAGGATCTGGTGCTTCTTTTAAGCATCATGTGGTCTAAGATTGACAATGTTTGTGAGACTCTAAGTGGGGAAGGCAGGTAGAAAAGGGTGTAGGGAATGTAGTGGATACTCAGAGGCCTGGCACACGGTGTCCTGACTCCAAATCTCTGCAGAAGAGGTGGGGGAAAGCTGATTTTGCACCCGGTATTTCTAGTGTTCAGGGAGAGTTCCAGTCTGCAGTGGAAAGTATGCAAAGATTATAAACTGGCCACTCCCAGGAGGCCTCACACAGCCTTTATGTGACATGTACAGTTTCTAGAATAAGGGACTTTTTTGTGTAAAAATTTGATTTTTGGATTTGCCTGGAAAATATGAAGATCTGGTTGAACCAGATTAGAACACAGGCCTGTGTTCCTATAGTGGGCTGGAGCCCCAGTGCCTCTTACGAACAGGGCATATACTGCTCTCCCCAGTCTGTGTTTATTCACTTGGCCTGCCTCATTCTTTTCTACCTGTCTGCCCTCTGTATCCATAGGCCTTTGGGTTGCGACCTCCCCTCCACCTTAAGAATATGCTCTATTTAGTAAAAGGAAGTAGATAACACCTAATAGCTCTTTATAAATTGTACAGTACAGTGAGTGTGTGTGTATGTGTGTTATTGCTGTTAGGGAGGAGAAAACTTTTTATCAGGCAGCCGCAAATGTGCATGGTTTTTTTTTTTTCTTTATTCCCCAGATGATAAATCTTGGTATTTGGAGGGCCCTGAATGTAATTTTGGTCAATACGAGGCCACATAATGTATTTCCTTTTCAAAATAGAATTTTGAGAATTTGTTTAGGAGTGGTCATTTAAGTGTAGTTCCTACTGCTAATAACTTTGTGTCCGGCATTGTACATAAGAACTTAGGTTAATGGTTACTGGGCTCATGGTCAATTGTTGATTGTTCTTGGGAATTTCCACTGGAGACAAGCATGACAATATTCATTCGAGAGCCTCTACTGCACTTTCAAGTGATCTTCAGTTTCCATTAACCTCTTGGGTTAATTACAGCTTCCCCAGAACCTTAACTAAAAGGTGAACTTTCCAGCATATCTCCAGTAAGCACATTATTATTTTTTCCTTTCTCCCTCCCTCCTTTTTTTCTCTCTCTAATAAGCATGTGATTAGTCACCACTCTTTCTTTCCCTTCCTCTTCACCTTCATGAGTAGCTGTGACCCTGGTTGTCAAAAATAAGATGACAAGAGCTGAAGTGCAGCTGATGTTGATGGTCAGCTGGGGTTCTCCAAAGCAGCATCCTCTGTAGAAGAGGTACTTGTCCTGCCTCCAGGCAAGGCAGTTTGGTTCCAGGATAGTTTGATGTACTTATTCATTGATTAGTCAACAAATATTTATTGAGCAGCTGCAGATCGCCAGGTACTGTTTTATGCTCTTGAAACAGAGCACTGAACAAAACAGTCCTCCGTCCATGGCAGTTATGTCGTAATGAGAGGAAGATAGTACATAAACAAATGAATGTACTCATATGTCTGTTGATGAGGACAACGAAGAAAAGTACAGTAAGAATTGGTGAATTTGGGCCGGCCCATGGCTCACTCGGGAGAGTGTGGTGCTGATAACACCAAGGCCACGGGTTCGGATCCCATATAGGGATGGCCGGTTGGCTCACTGGCTGAGCGTGGTGCTGACAACACCAAGTCAAGGGTTAAGATCCCCTTACCGGTCATCTTTTAGAAAAGAAAAAAAGAAAAAAAAAGAATTGGTGAACTTATTACTGAAAACACAGGCTTTTGAGGTTCAAATGGTAATAGTCCCTGCAGAACATTGAGGGCCTTATCTTTAGGTCCACTGAGAGATAATGATCCTTTCCCACCAGAAACATTCCTTTGCCTTGGTCAGCATTTGAGGGCTCATCCTGTGACGGAGAAAGCAAACTTTTCCTCTTTCACTGCCCCCTCCCTTGCCTGTTTGTCATTTTACCCATGACCAGTCATTTGCAACACTAAGGCTCGTTTTAAGATACCTTAAGCAGCTTGGCCAGGCAGCCAGGCTTCTGTTTGCCATGTCCTGAGGCTGACAGGGGAGGCCAAACAAGGGATGAGT